AAATCAAATTGTCTTGATGGTTAACTTTTGAGTGCTTCAAGGTCACTTTCTGGCTCTCTCATTATCCTTGTGAGTAGGTACCTTGGTTGTGGCTCCAGGTACAACCTCCCTAACTGTAATTTTTAGAAATGTTTCAGTGTAGCCAGGAAGGGCTCAAAATTTGATCAGAGAAGCAGTGGAGGGAAGGAAATAACTAGGCCTGCCAAGTCCCCCCAGGGGGTGGGGAAACCTCCGCCCGAGAGGCCCGTTACCTGCCACCGGCGGATCGGGCCCCGGGGGGAACCCCACCCCCAAAGCACGTGACATGCCTGGCATCAGCACGTCACCTGGAAGTGACACAGTCACGTCGGGCACGTTGGGGGCGGGGCCACAATCATCTGAGGGAAAACAATGGTTTTCCCTGGGATGATTGTGGCCCCGCCCCCAACGTGCCCGATGTGATTGCGTCACTTCCGGGTGACGTAAATGCGGCGCGCGCGCATAGACTCCCGGAGCAAGACTGGACTCCCCCACTCTGCAACAGGTAAGGACTTGGCAACCCTGGAAATAACAGAAAATCTGTCCGTCCGTCCCCCCCCCCGCTGCTTTTCAAATCAAATAAATCCTTCCCCTGAGCTGCTTTCTGACCCACAGAGGGAAATAGTCTGAATCTGTGTATCTTTTTCAAAATAAGAAGAAAAACAGTTTGACAGTTGTTAGCAGACCAATGGGGATTGCTAATAAAGTGCAAAGCCACATCGTTTTTGCCTTAAAAAATAATAAATCCCTATTTTGATATAGTTTGTCCCGTATACAAATAAAGCCTGTGAATCTTTGGCTGCTTCCATGTGGAGGTTTTTGTCTCTGCTTCAGTTTCCAAACTGCAGCATGGGGGTGGGTCCACGTGGTATCATACTCTTATCATGCTCCAGTCAGCTTTCCCCCATTCCTGATATGCTATTTCCCAAATCTACTTTTCTTCAGTCTTTTTAGGGAGGAGGACAGTCCATGAGAGATGAGAAGGTATGCATTTTCAGCGATGCCACCCATAACGCTGCCATCTTCTTTCTATTAGCACCTCTCAGACACTGATTTTTCTGTTCTGCCATCAAAGTGTTTTTTAAGGTCTTTTTTTAAAAAAACAAGGAATTGCTATAGCACTCCAATGCTATAGTTGACTAATTCCCGCACTGAGCAAGGGGGGTTGGAGTAGGTGACCTCTAGGATCCCTTCTAACTCTGTCAAGAAACTGGTCTCCTTTAAGAGCGTTTTTCTGCCTAAGTGTTAGCTTTCTTGACTGTAGAAGTCATCACCCCCCACCTGCCGGCTTCTTATCAGAACTGTTGCTTAGGCTGGCAGAAGTGATTAACTTGCAGCAGCTGAGAACTGTCATCTAAAGTGGTTGACAGCTTGCAGTTTAGAGATCTATCCTGGTAACAGCTTTCTTTTGGCTAAATGGCTTTTCTTTCTGCACTGAGAACTTCAGCCCCACCAGAAAAAAAAAATGCCCCAGTAGCCACAAGATCCTGGCTACAGGCCTGAGCTTGAGGAAGGTGGAGTTTGAGGAGGGGAGGACCTCAGTGGAGTATAATGCCCTTCAAGGTCTACCTTCAGGTAAATCTTTATCTCCAGGGGAATGGATCTCTGTGACCTGGAGATCAGTTGTAATTCCAGGAGATCTCCATGCACCACCTGGGGGTTGGCAAAGGTTTTGTTTGTGTTTTTAAGCCCGCTACAGCAGATGAATCTAGTGGTGAAAGGTAAAATCATTTAGGGGTGAAAAATAAAACTATTTGATTACAAAGGTTTCCCCCTGGATTTTTCAAATCGATTCCTTCTGTATTTCCAAGTTTTTCTTTTCAGGCAAAACTCCTCCTGTGTCCCTTATAGGAAAACGGCAAACTTGCCACAGTTGGAAGCAGTCTCTCCCATGCTGACTTACAGTGGTTCAGAACTCCTGCAAAGCTGCCATAATTCTGGAAAACGTAACATGATTCTAGAAAGTATCAGGTTTTAAATCCCTTTTTTCTCTGTCCTTTTCTCTGTTGGTTTGTCTTCCAAGGACTTTTAATTGCTTCTTGGTGGGAAAGCAGGGTTGTTCAGAAAGGACTCGTTAATGTTGTTGATTTCGTGATGATTCATTAACAAAATAGCCAGTTTATGGATGGATTTCCTTTTGTGTGTGTGTGTGTGTATTGTTATGGCCTGAGGCAGCGGTTGGCAACTTTTGGGGTCAGTGAAAAACACTCTTCATCTGTGAAAATGATGGTGTGCCTGAGATGCGGGTCATACTTGGCCAGATTCACTGGGAGCAAGCTAAGTCTGGTAGAAGCTGGTTTTATCATAGAGTTTTTGCCCAAATACCAGAGCATCACCCAGAAGTTGCTGGTGTGATGACATCACTTCCCATGTGACACCGGTGACATAGCCTGGCCTTTCTCTTTCTCCTGGTAAGTCCTCTCCATACCCCACCACACTGGATGCCAGGAGGGACCTGGCAACCGTAAATAGGGTTGGTATACAAGAGCTTGAAATGAATATGTTTCATACTCTTATTTTTTGTTATTTTAGTCTGGCAGTTCCATTTGTGCAACTACATCTCTTAAAGTTTTAGCAGCTTATTTTTTCACAGTGTACTTGATACCCTGTCAAAAAGATTCCCAAAAACAAATTATATAAGGAACAGCGAAAGGGTGGAGACCAGAAACTCTGGCTAATGTGTATGGTGATTCACTGTGTCCTTTATTTAAACTTTGACGGACTTGTTAAAATATGTGGCCGCAATAAATGGACAGAATTGTTTATGCCTATGGGTTTCCTTCCATTATGAAGTGCTGGAGATGACAATTTACCGTCACCAAGGGTCTTATTAATTTCTCCCTGGGTAGCTAATTACCTGTAAATGAACCTCCACTCATCGTTTTCATTTTTAGTTTGTAATTCCTTTGTAGACCCTCTTGGCTGATGGACTGTAGGGTGAGAAAATCTTTGTTCAGAAACGTTTAATGAAGGTATGCCTGAATTTGGATGTTGCACCTCCATTGGATGCTTTTAAACCATAGCTTGGGATCCATACATACAGGCACACACCCATGATTTAGATGTCAAATCACCTGGCCTGATAAATCATTTAGCACTGATGAGAGAAAATGAGGCATTATGATTACATTACTTGCAGGCAGAGTTTCTAAAGGAATGCCCAACTGTGTGATCAGGCAAGAGATTTTAAGCAGTGCAAAAGGAAACATCTTTCTTCTGTGGCTTTTCGTCGTGCCTCGTATGACACTTTGTTAAGTGTCCCAAAAGCCAGGGTTTATGTAGTACATTAAAATTAGGACTGATGACTGGCTGTAGAGGTCAGGAGGCAGATTTCTCCGTCTCTTGAGCGCTTAGAAAATCTCAGTGGTACCTAAATCTTTTTCGGTCTGGGATTGGGAACTGGCACCTCTTTTTAAAAGTTGTGTCTTTTAACCGTGTGTGTTATGCACTGCAAAGTAGCTTCTGATGTATGGGGACCCTATAAATTAATGACCTCCAAAACATTCTATCCTCTAAGCTGTGTGTGTGAGCGGCCACTCATTGACACAGGAAGCCCCGCTCAGCAGCAATCTGGAGCCACACAGGGTCTTTCACTGCCCGTTGCCCATTTTATGATTACAGCAGTTATGTAAACCGCTTCGCTCAGCAGGGGGGGGAAATGGAAGGGGACATTGGTTTACAGCCAGGCTCAGGTCTTGCACGGTGAAGACTGTTGCTTCCTTCATTGAGTCAATCGGTCTGTCTCATATTTGTCTTTTAACTAGAAGGGTTTTTTTTAATCTAGAATTTCGAGAATAATCATCATTCATGCATAGACTCAGGACAGAATCCTCGCACTGTGTATGTTAAACATATGGAACATGCTACCAAAAGGTAGCCCTGCCTGGATGGCCCAGGCTAGCCCAACCTGGTCAGAGCTTGGAAGCTAAGCAGGGCCGACCCTGGCTAGTATTTGGATGGGAGACCTCCAAGGAAGTTCCGGGTTGCTAAACAGAGGCGGGCAGTGACACTCTAGAACATCTCTTGCTTTGAAAATCCCACAGGGTCGCCATAAGTCAGCTGTGACAATTCTCCCCCCCCAAAAAAGATATGTTGGGGGCAGTGTTCCCTCTAAGGTGAGTTAGTGTGAGCTAGCTCACAGTTTTTTAGCCTCTGGCTCACACATTTTTGTCTTAGCGATGGCTCCAGAGCCAACTAATTTATGCAGTAGCCAAATTGCTCGCTCACAGCATTAATGCCAGCAGCTCACAAAACAGAATAATTGCTCACGAGACTCCACAGCTTAGAGGGAACATTGGTTGGGGGCCACTTACTTACCTCCCTATCTAAAGGAGATATGACAGATTTATAGAACATATCAGTTGATATGTGTGGAAGCTAAATGGAACCTCCATATTCAGAAGCATTATACCTCTGAATGGGAGAGCCAGCGTGGTTTAGTGGTTAAGAGAGTGATGGACTCTAATCTGGAGAACCGGGTTTGATTCCACACTCCTCTATGTGCAGCCAGCTGGAGGACCTTGGGTCAGTCACGGCTCCTTCAGAGCTTTCTCAGCTCACTTTCCACTAAAAAAGAGCAAGAACTTTAGACTGCCGAACAATTTTAGGATCTCCTGGCTGTACTTCACACAACGCCATACGATAATTTTACACCTCTGAACACCAGTTGCAAGAGCAGAGAGGGCTGTTATCTTCATGATCTGCTTGTGGGTTTTCCAGTGATTGGCCACTGTTGGTAACAAGGTGCCGGGTCAGATGGACCCTTGGTCTGATCCAGCAGGCTTTTCTTTGAAAGTTCTAGAAATATTGCTAACCCAGCGAAATGCCTGGATTGCTTGTTCATGTGGGTCTCCCAAGTCTCATTTGCAGGAGCAGTTAACAAGATGGCTTCCTTCCTGTCTCAGCATGATCAGGGAATGGGACACTCCTTTCCTGATGGTCCATAGACAATGTTATGCTCTTTCTCTTGTATCTCTGTGCAGGTGCCCCTGGTTAACAAGAGCCGTCTCCCCAGCCATCCCTCTGTACAATGGGCTCGTTTTTCTTTTTGTCCTCGCAAACTTCAGCATGGCGACATTCATGGACCCAGGGGTTTTTCCACGAGGTAAATGGAAGTGGGATGTGGGAAGGAAGGGATGAAAACAAAAAAATGACTGACCAAATTCATCCCAAGTTATCCAGAGCTCTCCTGCTTCCTCAAAGGGTTTTGCTTTTTCTCTGTTCTTTCCCCTTGTGTCTGGAAGGCCTGCCCAGAAGACTTGTGTGACATGCCACCTCTCCAGTTTGGTGTAGTGGTTAGGAGCTCGGACTCTAATCTGGGAGAACCAGGTTTGATTCCCCACTCCTCCACATTCAGCTGCTGGTGTGACCTTGGGTCAGTCACAAATTCTTTCAGAGCTGTTCTCTCATGAGCAGTTCTCAAAAGATCTCTCTCAGCCCCACCTACCTCACAGGGTGTCTGTTGTGGGGAGGGGAAGGGAAAGGAGATTGTAAGCCACTCTGAGACACCCTTGGGTAGTGAAGAGTAAGGTATAAATCCAATCTTCTCCTCCTCCTCCTCCACTACTACTACTACTGCTACTACTGCTGCTGCTACTACTTCTTCCTCCTCCACCTCCCTCCAATTCCCTTCTTAAAACCTAACCATTCCATGAAGCACGGTCCTTAGTTCCCTATTCCTATAGCCACTAAGCTTAAGTACCTGTAACCAGAATGAATAAATATTCTTTTCCTGTTTATCCTCTGCCTCACTCCTTTCCTCCATCCCGTCCCTTTCTTTTTTCTCAATGTTAAGTTTTAAACTGTAACTTCCTTGAGACAGAGACTCAGTTTTTTGGACTCTCTGTAGATTAAAGTACAATTCCAGCTACACTTAGTCTTTACTTCAACAGCTTTACTAATACTGGGGCTGTCAACCTGATTCAACAAAGCATCCTGAGTTTTAGGCGATTAACAGTGCAATGCTAAGACTCCTTTCCTGGGAGGAAGCCCCTATTGAGTAGACTTCAGGAGGATTCAGAGCAGACCCACTTTGGATTGGAGTGCAAGCTGATTAAATCTGCATGAATATGCATCTGAGAAGAAAATTAAGTTATAAAGAAAAACAGAGCCACGCTTTTGTTTTTAGATGACCTTTCCATGTGGGCCATAGGCACCATCCAAGAAGAGGCATTCCCTGCTCCTCTTTCAGTAGGGAATGCCTCTTCTCATATGTCTCTTGCTGTCTACAGTTTTTCTAAGTTCTATAATTTAAAAAAAAATTAAAATCTGCTACCTGACCCTTTTTAGTCAATCAAAATATTATTAATTGAGCAGGTCAGCTGATGAATCGTCTAAATGTTGCAGCCCTAATTAACTATAGTAATAATAATGATTAGTCCATCCATTTACAGGCTTGCTTTTGGCCATTGTTTAACAGCCTTATATAAGGATAAATTCATAACACAAACCATATTTCTGTATTCTTCCTTGTTTATTTCATGTGGACAGTGACTAATACTTCTGACAGCTCTGTGTATCTTTGAATATGTACAGCATTGCCAGTTTTGATCACGTATGAGGGAAGGGTGGTAGGGATAAACATTCTATGTAGTGTTTTGGGTTTTTTTAAAATTCTGTTTTATTTAATCCCCCAGCAGGTTTTCAGAAACACCCCCCCAGCCCTGGGTAGCTCCAGCTTGTGGATTTTTTTTTAATCTGCGTTGGAGTGGGTCATAGTTGGCTATGAGATACATGATAGCACACCAGTTTACTTCTTTTTCAGATTTAAAAGGGAAAAAATATATGTTGCATAGGCTTCCTGAGAATTTATTTACAATCAAATAAATTGGACCAGGTGTAGAAGCTTTACATGTAGAAACGCTAGATGTGGGGAGAGCAGACCCCTTGTAAAACTTCACACTCATGAAGTTACTGTATGCTAAATCAGACCCTTGGTCCATCAAGGTCAGTATCGTCTACTCTGACTGGCAGTGGCTGTCCGGGGTCTTAAGTGGAGGTTTTCCCCATCACCTACTACCTAATCCTTTCAACTGGAGATGCTGGGGACTGAACCTGGGACCTTCTCCATGTCAAACAGATGCTCTATCACTGTGCTATGGCCCCTCTCCTAAAAATATGAACACTGCTATAAGAACATAAGAGAAGCCAATGTTGGATCAGGCCAATGGCCCATCTAGTCTAACACTCTGTCACACAGTGGCCAAAAATACTAGGTGCCATCAGGAGGTCCACCAGTGGGGCCAGGACACTAGAAGCCCTCCCACTGTTGCTCTGCCCAAGTACCAAGAATACAGAGCATCACTTGCCCCAGACTGAGAGTTCCTATCGCGGGGAGGGTGGGTTATAAATTGAACTTATATAAATAAATAAATATAAATACCTTGTGGCTAATAGCCACTGATGGACTTCTGCTCCATATGCTTATCTAATTCCCTCTTGAAGCTGTCCATGCTTGTAGCCGCCACCCCCTCCTGTAGCTCACACTGGCAGCTGCTCTCCAAGGTCTCAGGAAGATGTCTTTCACATCACCTACTGCCTGGTCCTTTTTAACTGGAGAAGCCAGGGACTGAGCCCGGGATATTCTGCATGCAAAGCAGAGGTTCTTCTGTTGAGCCAGAGCCCCTCCCTTGACATCCATTAAGCTAGAGAGGTCCATTGTAGGTAGGATGGTGGGATGAACCTTCTGTTCCCACCCCTTTTAGTTATTTTTTGCCCCAGTGGGTCTGCAAGACCCTTGCCAATAGAACAGTTGCAGGCCCATAGCTACAGTTGGGCAGTTCGGGGCTCTGCCCCCTCAAATGTGAGGCATGCCCTACAACTGCTGCTGCCGCCCCTCCCCCATATTAAAATGGCCCTCCAGCTGATTGGCAGGAGCACGTAGCCCGCCAATCAGCCGGAGGTCCCTTTAAATCTTGCAGGCAGGGAGGGAGAGGGGCAGCCACGTGCCTTCCCTGAACTCCAACACCTTCCTTTTAAATGGTGTTTTTCAAGCGGGCGCTGCCCACTTGGAGTTCAGGGAAGGCATGCGGGGGGCCCTCTCCCTCCCTCCTCCCCTTCCCCTGCTGCCCCACAAAAATTTCCCCATGCCTCACCATCCCAAAATTTCTGACTACGGGGCTGAACAGTTCCCCTCCCCCTCCCATTCATCCATTCTCCACCACCAATCAACAGCCCGGTTTCTCTTGCTTGTGCTTTGCAGGAAATCGACAGGGCACAGAACTGGGTCGTGCTGCATTGCTCCTTTATTGGTACAGTTTGCTGTCAGTAATCTGTCCTGGTGTTGTTTTTGTTGTTTCTGTGCACTCTTGAGCAGCAGATGAAGATGAGGATAAAGATGACGATTTCCGAGCTCCGCTGTACAAGAACGTGGAGATCAAAGGGATCCAAGTACGGATGAAATGGTGTGCCACTTGCCACTTCTATCGCCCTCCCCGTTGCTCCCATTGCAGCGTCTGTGACAACTGTGTGGAGGTAAGAACGTGCACCCCACCATGCACAAACCTGCCCCTTTTGGCAGTGCTAGGTGCAAGTACAACTACTTGGGTTGGATGTGGTCCCAATCACTATCCATATTTAGATGGGTGAATATCCTAGTATGTGCTATCATTGCACTAAAGCAATAGGGTTGGGTCCAGACTAAATTTTCCGTCAGCAGAACAGAGATTTCGTGCCCCACCCCCAGTCCCCCCCGATATACTGCTCCAGGTGGGGTTAGAGGCCCCTGAGGAACACCATGGGGGGGGTCTGCAGCAGGAAGGGGAAGGGGTGCAAATTGCCAATTTAGTCTGGATCCAACCCATCATTTGCCACTGGATTTTTCCTTTGCAGACTACGCAGTCCAGTTGCAAATGGCTGCTGTAGCACTATGATAGTATAATACCCAACGATGCATGGATGTAACCCAGAACTGTTTTGTGCATTACTTTGGGTGCAGTCTTCAGAGTGCCATTGGGTCTGAAGACATAAGCCGGGCTTGCTTTTCTGTTGGCTGGCCATTCGTACAGCACTACTTTGTAAATGGCAGAACTTGTGCCCCAGCGCCAAAAGAAAGGGACTCCCTTTTCCTCAGGTGTAAGACAGCATGCCTGATCTTACATGGAGCAAGGCTTGAGTAGTGGGCACGGAATCCCAATATGACCTTGAGAAAGAACTATTGCATGTTTGCAACTGTGCAACAGATTCAGGAAACTGGTACATCTATCTGACTCAGAACCTCATTTTTATTGTTATGGGATTTTAAAAGGCATGTTGTTGTTAGTAGTAGTAGTAGTAGTAGTAGTGATGGTGGTAGTAGTAATTTATAGCTGCCTTTCTCACTGAGAATCAATGTGGATTACAAAATATGAAAAATGATTCAATCAGACATTCAAGACTTCCCAAAAACAATGTAAGAGGAATAGGATTACATAACTGGGAAAACCATGCAACCCCTCCCCCTCCCTGAAGCATAGCATACCATAATGAAGAAAAGGGGTTACCAAACAGGATAATTTTAGCCTCCGTCGTTGTAAAGGGTGGATTAAGAACATAAAAAAGGTAAAGGTTCCCTTGCTCGAAAGCCAGTCGAATCCGACTCTAGGGTTGCGGGTGCTCATCTCCGTTTCAAAGCCGAAGAGCCAGCGCTGTCTGAAGATGTCTCCGTGGTCATGTGGCCAGCATGACTAAACACCAAGGTGCACAGAACGCTGCTCCCTTCCCACCGAAGTGGTACCTATTTATCTACTTGCAATTTCTTGCTTTCGAACTGCTAGGTTGGCAGGAGCTGGAACTAGAGATGGGAGCTCACTCCATCATGCGGCACACACGGGTCTCGAACTGCTGAACTACTGACCTTCCACAGCCTGCAGTTCAGCGTCTTAACCGCATTGTTAATAGCTTGGAGACACAGTGAAGTTTGGAAAGGGGCTTTCAGTAGATGAGGAAAGGAATTCTTCACACTTTAAAGCTCCCCATCAAGTTCCCTGTTTCCTACTTCCCTACCTGGAAGTGGTCAGGGCTGGAACACATGCCACTGCTCAGGTTCCAGAGAGTATATTTAAAACAAAATAGATCTGGGACAGAGACTGGTAGGAAAAGTCAATTAATGGTTGGACTTATATAAATTAGCTTGTATAAGTCAGCTCCTGCCAACTTAGCAGTTTGAAAGCAAGAAATTGCAAGTAGATAAGTAGTTACTGCTTCGGTGGGAAGGTAACAGCGTTCCGTGCACCTTAGCGTCTAGTCATGCTGGCCACATGACCACAGAAACGTCTTCAGACAGCGCTGCCTCTTCGGCTTGGAAACGGAGATGAGCACCACCCCCTAGAGTCGGATTTGATTGGCTTTCGAGCAAGGGAAACCTTTACCTTTATAAGTCAGCTAATGGTTTGACTTATATAAAGCAGTTTCATATGTTCTTCTTGCCTCTAGGTTTCCCTGGATTCTCTCAAATGTTGAATGCCCAGAACAAAAGATACACATCTTGCCATCCCTGACTGGCTATAACAGACAGAGTAGCCACATTATTAAACTATATCCCTGATTGGTTACAGCTGACAGCATTGCCATGTTATTAAACTGATTGGCTATAACAGAAGGCCTTGCCACATTATTAAACCAGTATACCTCATTAGCTACGACAGATGGCCTTGCCACATTATTAAACTATATCCCTGATTGGTTATAACAGACAGCCTTAGCACATTATTAAGCTACGATTGCTTACAGGGGAGGCAAGGCACAGCCATTAATATCTCTTGGATCAATAAACTGTGTCCTCAAACCAAGGGCTTCATTGATTTCTTTGTATTCTTTCTTCGTATATGTCTGGAAGTCCTCTGTACCTTTTGCATTTCCAACAGGATACTGGGTCACAATGAAGTACTTATTATTGTGTTTCCATTTCGAAGCTCTCAGTACGCCAAGGGCTGTTATTCAGTCCTTTCATTCGCATTGTGGTTATAAATTTTCACAATTGCTTAGGCTGTAAAGTGCAGCTTTCTGTTGCCAGACAATAGTTAACAATCAAGGCTGATTTAGAGCTAATTCACACAATCATTCTGTACACAACACAAGCCCAGCCTAAATCCAGCCATACATTTGATGACAAGCCGGTTGTATTTAATTTGGCTGTGAGAATTCATGTGATTTGGAGGGCGGAGTTGGTATATAGTTATTCAGTTGTCTGTCAGGTCAAGCATGGTGAGGCTGCATTGATTTTTTTTTAATAGAGGATGTAGGTGAGGGAAGGTAAAACTCTGCCCCCTCCCTGCATTCTTCAGTGCTCTCTGTCACATGAAGCACTCTTCATATAAAGGTAAAAAGGTAAAGGTTTCCATTGCTCGAAAGCTAGTCGAATCCGACTCTAGTAGGGGGCGGTGCTCATCTCCGTTTCCAAGCCGAAGAGCCAGCGCTGTCCGAAGATGTTTCTGTGGTCATGTGGCCAGCATGACTAAACACTAAGGCACACGGAACCTTCCCACCGAAGAGGTACCTATTTATCTACTTGCAATTTCTTGCTTTTGAACTGCTAGGTTGGCAGGAGCTGGGGCCAGAGATGGGAGCTCACTCCGTCACGCGCCACTCGGGTCTTGAACTGCCAAACTACAGACCTTCTGGTCTGCAGCTCAGCGTCTTAACTTCTAAGCCACCGCGGCCCCTATCTCTTCATCTAGCCCAGCTCAAATCTAGGGTTGGCGTTTGGCTGGGGATAAAATGCATGATATAATGGAGTGCAATTAAGTTAAGGAGGGAGGATAGCTTAGATCCTGAGGAAACTCTCCACGGAAGGGAAGGATTTCCGTCAGTGCTGCAGGGCTTCTTCAGCTCCCCCTTCCTGTTACAGCCCCAAAATGCTGACACTGGGGTATGGGGACCCCAGGAACAGAGGAGGACCCAACATGAGATGGACGGACTCAGTCAAGGAAGCCATGGTCCTTGGTTTGCAAGACCGGAGCAAGGCTGTTAACAGTTAAGAACATAAGAACATAAGAACATAAGAGACGCCAATGTTGGATCAGGCCAAAGGCCCATCCAGTCCAACACTCTGTGTCACACAGTGGCCAGAAATACCAGTGCCATCAGGAGGTCCAGCAGTGGGGCCAGGACATTAGAAGCCCTCCCACTGTTGACCCCCCCCCCAAGCACCAAGAAGACAGAGCATCACTTGCCCCAGAGCCCCTAGCTATACCTTGTGGCTAATAGCCACTGATGGACCTCTGCTCCATATGCTTATCTAATTCCCTTTTGAAGCTGTCCATGCTTGTAGCACCCACCACTTCCTGTGGCAGTGAATTCCATGTGTTAATCACTCTTTGGGTGAAGAAGTACTTCCTTTTATCCGTTCTAACCCGACCGCTCTGCAGTTTCATGGAGTGCCCACGAGTTCTTGTATTGTGAGAAAGGGAGAAAAGTACCTCTTTCTTTACCTGCTCTTTCCCATGCATAATCTTATAAACCTCGATCATGTCACCCCTCAGTCGTCTTTTCTCCAAGCTAAAGAGCCCTAAGCGCTTTAACCTTTCCTCATAGGGAAAGTGTTCCAACCCTTTTATCATTCGAGTTGCCCTTTTCTGCACTTTTTCCAAAGCTATAATATCCTTTTTAAGGTGTGGTCCTTTTTAAGGTGTGGTGCCCAGAACTGCACACAGTATTCCAAATGAGGTCTCACCAAAACAGTTGGCTGTTTTGGAGGACATTCATTCATAGGGTTGGAAGCAACTTGACGGCACTTAACGCACACACCCACACACTTACACACCCACACACTTACACAAGGCTGTTAAGAAGGCCCCCACAAGGGTTTCCAGTAGGGTCGCCAGCTCTGAGCCGGGAAATTCCTGGAGATTTGGGGGTGGAGACTGGGGGGGTGGGGCTTGGGGAGGGGAAGGACCTCCGTGGTCCACCCTCCAAAGCAGCCCACCCTCCAAAGCAGCCATTTCCCCATGGGAACTGATCTGTGTTTCCAGCCTCCAGGTGGGCCCTGGGGATCTCCGAGAATCACAACTGATCTCCATACTACAGAGATCAGTTCCCCTGGAGGGAATACCCTGCTGGGGTCCCTCCTCTCCCGAAGCTCTGCCCTTCCCAGGCTCTGCCTTAAATCTCCAGGTCTTTCCCAGCCCAGAGTTGGCAACCCTGGGCTCCCCCCACACTTTATCATTCCTCACAATGCGCAAAACAGAATTGTTCAGGAGGGCATTTTTGTAGAGGGAGCAGAGCTGTGGAGGAATGGATCAGCTCTGGAGGTGACCTTTATTGGGGGGGAAAGATTTTTCCTACACTGATGGTCTTGCTGCCTTAAACACACATCTTTGCTTGCCTTGTCCTTTTCTCCCCTCTCTGTTCTATACATTATTTTCTTTTACTAGGAATATTTGCTGTTAAGTTTCAAATACTGTCATCATATCTTGTAATCTGCTTACTGATTGACTCATGTTATCCTATTGTTTTGACTCATGTTATCCTATTGTTGTAATCGGCTTACTGACTGG